TATATATATATATATATATATATATATATATATATATATATATATATATATATATATATGTATATATACATATGGGTACATATCGATATAGATAGATACAGATATATAAATATAGACATTGTGAGTGAATCAATAAATCTGGAGGAAAACGACATAGATGAATGAAGCGACCAACATGTTGCTTGTAATGTTTAGCTACCATATGTTTGTATGTTTTATGACATTTTTCCAAACTTTGTACCATATTTATGTTTGTTATTCATTTATTAAGAATCTTAAGCCCTTTACTCTTTTTGATTTTCGACCCATGTTCTGTAAACACTTGGAACAATGTAATTTTGTGGTACAAAGTTGACTGAAAAAGGTAAGGTTTTTAAGGTTTAAATGAGAGAGAGAGAGCCCATGTACTTTTCCTTGCGGTTTTACCTCGTTGTGTGGCACACTTTCACAGCTGAAGTTGCAGATACAGCGTTCATCCTCTTCATCGTCGTTCCATTGGCCACCATGCATGGCACAGCGCTCCTGTTCGCAGCTCTCCACGCCCGACCCAGATGCTCCAGAGCCACATTCTGCAAGTAATCACACCCAACACCACAATATGACTATGATTTATTTTCTTTTTTCCACTAAGCCATCAGGTAGAAATTGATATTTCTTTTCATCACAGATGAACTGTTGCTTAAATTTTCAGAGGACGACAAAGTATGGATATTCATCTTGCAAGTGAAGACACCAAGAACTGCAGCTGAGTCGAAAATAATGATCCACCGCAGCAAGGGTTAGATAGTGACTAAATAAATTAGACATCTCTGCACCACCAATGAGGCGTCCTTTCTTATTTCAATTAAATCAGAAATAAAAAAGGAGGAACTCTCTGGCCTTTAGAGGCGCTTTATGGGTGCCTGCCTACTGATATGAGAATGCAACTAATTGCACAGCGTTCTGTAAAATTTAATTATCTGCCGAGACCTTGGAGAAAGTTGTCACAGCAACTCTTTAACTGTGACCCTGAAAGGTCATTTACTGGGTTTAAAAGCTGAGCTAAAGGAAGAGGGAAGAGCTGCTCATTTGTAGCCACAGTAAAAAATGGAAAGAAAATTCCCATAGATACTTTGTTTTCTGCTACTGTTCTGCATTTTTATTCTTTTAAAAGAGATTAAAATGAGAAAAATAAGCGGTGACACGTCGAAAGCATGTTGTTTAGGGAATTGGTTTCAGAGAGAAACAAATCGTGCAGACAAAGACAGTGGGAGGGTCCCCTCTTTTGAAGTTACAAACATTTCCTGCAGCGGAGGCCCTTGGGGGAGATTAGGTGAATGTGCGTGAAGGCAGGGGTTTGAAAGCGTGTCAGACGAGGGGAGAGACGCTCATGAGGCAGGCGGAAAGTTCATTCGAGACTAATTTGTTATTCAGAAAAGGAACCAACAGCTCCCAGAAAAGCCTAACGGATTCAAAGGGCTTCTAATCAAGGTGTTCCTTCCTCCTGCCGTCGTCTTGTCTTCTTTTTTGGGCTAATTCCACTCTGTGTACTGATGCTCCACCTCTAATGGCAAAATCAATGTCCTCGTGATGGAAGCAGCTCTTAGCGAAACCCATCTTCTAAAGTAGATTATGGAGAAGGTCACAGAGCCGGGGAGGGGGGGAGGGGGAGGATGAAGGAGCCTTGGTTCCTCTTTGATACGGGTCATCAGCAATGGGATAGGAGAGCTCTTGAGGGGGTCGATATAATGGAGGAGCTCTGACTTCATTACCTGGAGCTAAGGCCCATCGTCCAACAAAACATCAGAACCAGTTTAGGGATTGGTTCTCTCTCCATTCGAAACCCCCATCCCTAATCCTATTACCAAATGACACCATTGTAGGAAGGTATTGATTAGGAGCCACAGTCTTGAGTTTAATAAAACGTTTTGTGGCCAATGGCTCTTAGCCACTGGTGACATTATCTAAAGTATTTCTAGGAGAGGACAGATGAGGAGAATAGGCACTGGTTGGCTTCCTGCGTGTTTACTGTAAGCCAGCTCAGCAAGGCATAACAAAAATAGAGGCAAATGTAAGCTCACCCAATTCACATTCAGCTCAGGCATCCTGGTAGAGCTAAGATAAATAAATGAAAGAGGTAAGACATTAAAACAGAATAAATAAATAAAAGTGAAAGGCGAAGGGGGGTCCTAATTAGCCGTTGTACTTTGATGTGTCCACCACCTGCGCTGCCTATGAACCTTTCAATTAATCCATCCCCAGCTAAGATGGCTGCATCAGCTATTCTCTCTGCGCTGCCCATCCGTTCCTTTTTACTCAATCATGTCAGAAGCCCCAGTCTATTTAGCCGAGAGAGCTCCATTAAGAAGACAGAATTCAGCAGCCGAGGGAAGAAAGGACGTGAATTGCATGAAAATAGCTTCTAGAAAATATAGCAAGAATTTGACAATGAGAATAACAGAAGTGTACCTTGCGGTTGTGTCGTGAAAGGTGTCTGGGACCGAACCAAAAAGAGCAGAACAGGAGTAAATAATTGAAGATGTAGGAGAAAGTCTGGGAGATACACTGAGCTTTTGGTAAACCAGCATTCATGATGGTGCCGCTGCTGGCTTGTGTTATATGAACACTCTATATTCAGTCTTAAAGCCACTTTGGATTACTGCTTGGTGAATGTAACCATGGAGGCATATGAATAATAACACAGATATTTAGATCATCTGGTGCATCTGTTCCTCTGGTCCACATGCAAATTGTGTTTCTAATAAATAAATCGTTTTGAGGAGGTTTTTCCTGTTATATATACTGGTAATGGATATTCAGGGATACAAAACCCATTTTAAAAAGCAATTATCAAAACACTACACCCATCTTATCTTGGTCTGAATATGTGTGTCTAAGTTTTAAGATCAAAATAACATTAATAGACTTTGAGGGCATTACTATAAATAACAATGAATCACTCTAGCAGCAACAAGTTTTATATATAATCCATATGCTGACCAACTAAACTCAACTGAATATACTCCCACCACCTTTACAGTGTTCAGCAATGGGACTAGTCTAATTGCTAAAAGGAACATTGTCTGAGATGGGTTATATCACTGCCAAAAAGCAATTGTTTCCCAGCTTATAGAACTATTGATGCATCTGGGAACATCTCAGCTCTAATATTACTTTTATTCAAAGTATTTATAGATTCATATTTACATTTTTAAGAGCTATTATGTACGTTTTTACTGAAAAATACCCTTTAAATTACCTTTTTTTTACCCTTAACGACTAAAACATGGTTTGATCAGGAGACTGACAGGTAAGTAGTTCAGATCTCATGCATAAGCTTTTAGGATATTTAATACATTTACTTCTGGTTGGAAGTTCCCATGCTGTTCGGCAGATGTGACAACAAGCGTGTCCATGTTGAATGGGTCCAACCTAGCAAACAACCAAAGTGTTGCATTTCAGAGGGATTTTGTTCCATACTCAGAATCGGCTCAGGCATTGAGCTTAACTCAGACACTGATGGCAACTCCACATAATGTCAAAAAAGTTTACAAAAAAAAGCAAAAAAATTGTTAAGTATGTGGGTGAGCTACAAGAACGAGCAAAAGACGGCTGCAATTCTGTGTTCTGGCCACAGGTGGCAGTATCATAAGAAAACTCCATAATGCCTCTTTAAGTTTGGTTAAGTTTGAACACAGATGCACCTATATTTTTTTCTTGGCATTTTCTTCTTTTTTCTGTATCTATTTTGTGTGCTACTAAGAGCTGTGGTAATAAAATAATTCCACTATTATGAGAATGATAAAGTTCAAATTATTTATTTGTCAAGTCTACAAAATTTAGACTGGTCCAAATTGAGCTTTATAATTGTGAGGTTTAGGTTTAATAAACTACTATTTTATTAGTAAGGATACAAAAATGAAGTACTTAAATGTTTTTGTTGCATAAGAATCTCTTTCAAAATCAAAACAGCAAATATGGATAAACATGAAGGGACAGAAAAAAAAAATCTACACTAAACGCAGACTCTTCAAAACAAGGCTTTAGTTAACTGTTTAGTTTTCGGAATGAAATATCCTTCTATCTGTTTTTAAAATTTGAATTAATTTCGACCTAAAATTTTGGGACAGTCCTTACCCTCGCACTGCTTTGGTCATACTCTGGATCCTTCTCTTGTAAAACTCTTTTTATGAAGATTTAACTTCGTACACTTCTAATAGCGCAGCATAGATATTATAGTGTTCTAAATCCAAGTAATACAAAATATGACATTCAGTGAATGGTGCAAAGTGGCATGCGCTACCTTCGTTTTTGCCCTGCAAGTCCCCTGAACTGTCTTCATGGATGTAGGAGGACATTATTTCGAATAAAGGTCCCCAAAGATAGACAAATGATGTGTCCCACCTCACGGTTAGAAAGATGAGTTGTTTGCAAATGGCAAGAAAAAGTTTTGGTACCTCAGCAGAAGGTTACAAGTCCTGATTGGGCATGAATATGATAGATGTAAGACGAGCTCAAATCCATTCGCCTCCCATCATTCCTGGTGACCTTTCTTATGTTCTGGAGTTAGATCCAGCTCATGCCTTAAAGGGGGCAAAATATTTGCTTCTTCCACATCTTACTTATTTTGATTATTAAATGCCTTTTTCAATTAAAAAATACCCCCCCTCTCACAAACACACACAACTGATGCACCACTTTCTGTTGCCACTTTGTCAGTGTCAGGAAAAAGGAGCTGAGGCCAAGACTGCCCGAGTGTGAAATTAAACAGGTGATAAATTTCCCTGTATGGCCAAAAGTGGGAACACTGTAATTTTTCTTTACTACTAAATAAAAGCAAGAGAAAACAACTTTGTTTTTTATGCTGTGCCCTCCTCCAATAAGACTAATGAGGGTGGGTTTTAAGGCGGGTCTACGTAAGCATATAAATCACACGTTCATTTCCTCTAAAGGCTTATCTTTGATTTCTTACTGGTGATGTAGGGCTTTGCTGCTGTCAACAGTGGTAGCAAGAAAAAACAATATAATATGTAGTGACAGGAGGCTGTTGTGGGGGGGTTCTCTTTACACGCCCTTTTTTTTTTTTTTTTTGCCAAAACTCACCCCTCGTACATCTCCGTTGGGGTAAATTTATGAGAGATAAATCATTTTTTAACACAGGCAGTGCAGGGAAGATACATCAAAAGGAGAAAACCAACAGCTTGGTTTAGATTGTGTTACATTTCTGCAGACTTCCAGTCGTGGGTTTGGGTCAGACTCGTGCAGGCTAAAATAATCTAGGGGGAAAGAGGGAGAAAAGACTAGTTGGCCCCAGGGTGATATCATCGATTTCTGACCCATCTTTACCCCCTTGTGAAAAAGGCACTGGTGCCTCTTTTTGTCAGGGAGGCCCAATTTTGACAGAGAGGAGTGCAGAATTCACAGAGAGAAATGAGTGGGTGGGACAGCAGGGAGCGGTGTGGAGCACAAAAAAAAAAGGATTCTTTTGTGTAAGCCTGATGGTTTTCTCTGAATCAAAATGAGCAAGTGATGGAAAAAGCAGGATGTTCACAGACTCCCTCGGGGAGGCAGATGAGAGCATTTTTGTCTAACTCCAGACAGCCAACAGACAATGGGAAGCGTGTGCCTGCAAGTCAGCGTTGAGGGTTTACAGCCTCACTGTTCCTTGTGCCCTACACACAAAAAGGTCACATATCCCAGTCAATGAAATGATGTTAAATGGACTGCTGGAGCTCTGGTGGCCTGATTTGCCTCTCGGGCCTGTGGTGGCAATATGGCTGACAATCATAACACAAAAAGAGGGGGGGGAAAAAAAAAGAATGAAACACCCCTGGGTAGCAATCGAAATGGAAGTAGATTCTCCTCATCTGTTTGCCCAGTCCTCCAAACTACATCCATTTTTCTTCTCTCCAGCGATCCCTCCTGCTGGCAGGTGTAATCTGCTCCCCTTCACACCTTGTCAGAAGATGACTATGTTCACTGTGGCGACCCTCTACCCACAGGGGAACATCGCCGCCGCTATCTGCATGACAACCAGAGGCTGGGCACGCTGCTGCCGCCACAGTTTGAAGGGCTGAGTGAGGGGACGCTGATACGTATTCTGCTGAGGCTTGTCAGAGCAGATCAAGATACGATCTGCACGGTAAATTAGGTTCTATTTTCCTTCAGCGTCGGGGGGGGGAGAAACGGCACAAGCTGCAGCCATGGAAAATCAGGGATACTCACATTAGATGCCATCGGTCACACATTTAGAAGCCTAATTGGATAGAAAGGCTTCATAAACGATGCCATGTGTTTGTCAGAGCAAAAATGAAATATGGTCGCAGTGTCGGGAAAATCTGTGTGAAATCCTTTATCTTTATGAGATCAAACACTTCATTCTGACAAGTTTTTTTTTTTTTTTACTGAATACTTGCCTTTTTTATATGGGCAGTTCTGGCAATTAGAAGCCCCATTAAAGACAGTCATTTCCTTTTACAAACAGATTAAGGATTTGAAAAACATCATTACCACCTTATCTTAATTTTGCATTTGAAGAAGCAAGGAAATGTATCACTGGTGCTTAGATAGAGGACGCAGGTGAGCCACCTGTGATGACAAGTAAGACACTAACGATAAAAAGAGAATTAATTGGTTCTCTTAACTCTCAATTAATATGTTTCTGTATGATTTCAACATTTGCACTGCAGCCATTCCAATACGAATAAGTCGGTTTTTGATAATATAACTGTAATTTTCCCTTGTTTTGAGTAGGTACAGTAAGACAATTTACCAAAGAAATAAAATGATTTAGTTTCAAGAGAAAAAAATCAACTTCATTTTCTTATCTAATTATTTATTTTTAAGGGAGAAATACTCATTCCATTGGGAGAATATCTCACCTACCTGCTCAAATGAAGGACAAATACACTTATTTAAAGTTCATTTACACTCAGAAGGTTAAGATTTTAAATAAATAAAAGATGATTTGATCACAAATTAAATATTCTTTAGTTTTTTTTTACTAGTGCTAAAAAAAAATCAACTGATTAAAGAATAATAAAAGGATTTTAAAATGTAAGCTAGCAGAGTTTAGATTTTGACCCAGCAGAATGTCATTCAACAGTTTTAAATTGCTAAAATAACAACAGAAATGTGACTTAAGGACATACTGTCCACAGATACAACACCGGGTTAAGTTAGAAGTAACCCGGCATAAGTCAGATTGATGCTGTGTTCAAATTGCATCGCAGGAATCGATCTGGAAAGCCTCATGTTTGCAAAAGCGAGGGACATTCAGCACAATTCTTGAACCTGATTGGGTGCTGCCTTCCCTGTCAAATTTTAAGCCAATCACAGCAGCAGTGGTTTCAAGAAGTTAACTGATTTT